ATGCTGAATGAAAAAAGTCAATCACAAAAGGGCAAATACTATATCATCTTACTTTTATAAAAAGTCAAGAATAGGTTCAAGCAATGTTCTTAGATGGTTACCAGGGATGGAAGTGGGAAGGTAAGGGAAAACACTTTCTAGATATTACACACTTGTTATTTTTGGTGATGGAAAAGGCAATATCCAATATGGGTGAAGTCTGTACAACTTGACCAAGGTAAATGAAGACACTAAGAAGCATGCAAGAATAAGGGACAATTTTGGTAAATGCTATAACTTATATAATTTTGCAGCAACAGCAATAACAACCAAAAAATGTGTGTGGTTGTGTATGCATATATGTGTATAGGAAGGCATATGTGAGTACAGGTGTGTGCATATATAGGTCTATCTATAGGCATATGTATATACATGTTTGTGTATGCTGCATATATAGTCATATAGATAATAAAGCACACAAGGGGCACAGTTATGGAGACTTCCTAGACATATCCAAACACCTCACGGCTTGGTTTACTGGGTTAAAAGGCTTGGGACCTTAGTCTCTGGGGACAACTCGGTCAATTGGCATGACGCAGTTCATAAAGAAAACGTTCTACATCCTAGTTTGGTGAACAGCGTCTAGAGTCTTAAAAGCTTGCAAGCGGCCATCTAAGATACAACTATTGGTCTCTACTTGTCTAGAGCAAAACAGAATGAAGGAAACCAAAGACTCAAAGAAGACAGTTCACAGGACTAACAGCCCGTGTGAACCATGGCCTCATCTAGCCCAAGACCAGAATTAGATGGTGCCCAGCTACCACTACTGACCATTCTGACCAGGGACACAGCAGAAGGTCCCAGATAGAATGGGAGAAAAATGTAGAACAAAATGCCAATTCCTAAAAAAAATACCAGACCTACTAGACTGATAGAGACTAGAGGAACCCCTGAGACTATGGTCCTAAGATAACCTTTGAACTTGGAACTGGAGCCACTCCTGGAGGCCATCTTTCAGCCAAATAATAAACTGGCTTATAAAATAAACAATATCACCCCTGAGTACTGTGCTCCCTTAAGTAATCAACTATATGAGACCAAACGGTCAACACTTACCCTAAAGCAAAGATGGGAAGGTAAGGAGGGGCAGGGAAGCTAGATTAATGGAAACAGAACAAACAGAATGAAAATAATAAGTATGCTGACAACTGTGAAAAATGTAACCAATGTCACGGAACAATTTGTATATAAATTGTTAAATCTAATTTGCTGTGTAAACTTTCACCTAAAACACAATGAAATATTATTTAAAAAAAAAACACTACGGGTAATATCTAATTATTAGTTAATATTATCTTAAATAGAAAATGAGAGGACCTTTTCAAAAAATCCCTCTAAATGATATCAGATTCTTAGACTTTTTAATCTTTCACTCTCTACCTTATTAAGAAGCTACTATTTAACTTGATGTCCTTCAAGGAGAAGGGAATCTCCCCTGATCTCTGGCTCCAAATTCCCTGTAATATATTCATATTTGTCATCTGAAAAGTAAAGCCATGTATGAAGCCAGAATTTTAACAGCCTACAGAGTAAAGGCTAGGTCTGCCCTTTGGTGAGCAGAGAACCATGCTGAAGTGGAAGCATGGCTTTGGCGGCTGAACAGTTCTTCCCTGTTCTCTTTTACCCTTTTTGTGATCTGCAGAAAATTTTGAAGACTCTCCAAACACCTGAAAGGAAAATCCACTTTATCCATTGAACAGGAATGGTCTAAGGCGCAACCCTCAGAAGAAGTCATAAATAAAATTCTTACACCCCTCGTGACAACCATGGAATCAGATCTTGAAACTAAAAATTGTCAACAAAGGAAAAATGGCAACATTCTTAACAGAAAATCTACCCACTGCCGTTGAGCCGATTCTGACTCATAGATTCTGTTTATGACGGAGCAGAACTGCCCCATTGGGTTCTAAGGCTGTAAATCTTCACGGAAGCAGACTGCCACATCTTTCTTCTGCAGAGCGGCTGGTGAGTCCAACCCACTGACCTTTCAGCTTAGCTGGTGAGCACTTAACCACTGCATCACCAGGACTCCTTAACAGAAAATCTAGGGAGAATAAAATCAAACTAAACCACATGACTACACGATCCCCGTTACCTCCTCTGATCTCATCTCCCAAATGCCCTTCTCCTTGCTCACTTGTTTGCAGGCACACTGGCTTCTTGGTTGTTCATCAACATGCCTGCGTCTTTGCACTTGTTGTTTCTTCTGCCTGAGATGCTCTCTCCCTGATATTCTCACTGCTTGTTCCCCTCTTCTTTAGCTCTTTATCAAACATCACCATATCTAAAAGGATACTCTCCTTCCCTGGTTTTTTCGTTCTCCTGAGTCTCTGTCACTATCTAACACACTGTCTATATTATTTCTCTTACTGACTGACCGTCTCCCCACTAGAACACGAGCTCCATCAGACAAGGATTGTTGTCTGATTTTTCAATGCTTTAGCATTAAATTTCTTTCATTTAAAAGCAATAAATTCACTAGTCAAAACTCTAGCAAAATTTCAGTAGAAGACCATAGATAGAAAATACAACAAAATGTTTAAACATAATACCCTTACGAATCTATCCATTATAGTACATTCAAAATAAAATATCTCTCAAGTGTAAAATAGACAATGTGTTCCTAATTCAGGTGATCAAACATATCTGTTGTGTTTAAGTGGGCAACTAGTTTTATATTAGGTAGTCTTAGACTGGAAGAAAGACCATGGGTATGTTACACAGAAGAAGAGAAAGCAAAGGAACAATAACAGAAATATTACATTGCCCCTGCCTACTACTGCAGAGTCCAGTGTGGACTCCAATTTGAAAGCTAAGAAACCTGCCACTGGATGATCCACAGGGAACACCACCGAAGAGGATGGGACTGAAACAACATACCAGGGGAACCCAGAAAACTGAGGATTTAGGCCAAGTGAGCAAGGACAGGATGGCAGATACCTTCTGAAAGCATTATCTGAGCAAAAAAAAAGGACAAGTCATCAATGCAGATTTCAGCAGGGCAGGCAAAAGAGACGCACAGCCACCTGGTGGTCAGTGGACATTAGCACCTAACAAAAGCATCAGCAAATACCTGATTACACATGGAAAATAATTTCTTAGGCATAAAAACAGTGGGAGAAATCACAAAAGAAAAAAATCAATACATCAGAGTGCATAATATTTAACACTGTAGTACATGAAAAACACAAAATTAAAAGCCAAATTTTTAAAAGCAGGGAAATTACAACAAATAAGATAGACTTAATGCTAATATCCTCAACACAAAAACATTTGAAAAACTGTCAAGCAATGCAATAAAAAATCAGACCAATCAAAAAGGAAGAACAGCTAATAAACATTTGAAAAACTGTTCAGCCTCACTAGTAACCAATAAAACCGAAATAAAAACAACATACTACTTTTAACTATCAAGCAAGACAAATTTTCTTAAACTTAAAATAGTGTTATCAGAGTAGAACAGTCATTCTTGGATACTGTAAGAAATTAGTGTAAACTTTAATGGAATTGGGCAACACATTATTCCTTTTTACCCCAATACTCACCTTCTAGTAATCTAGCTTAAGGAAAAAAATCAGTGATGCGAACCAGGATTTATGTATGAAGTCTACTGCAGCATTATTTATAATAGCAAAACGATAAAGAAAGAAAAGAAACAACCTAGATGATCAACAAAAGGCATAAAATTATAAAGTATACCTTGGCCACATGAAGCATTATGTAGCCATCAAAAAAGTTTTCAAAGATTACAGATATGAAAAACAATTACTATTAAATGAAAAGAAGGCACAAAAAATGCACATACAGGATAAACATATACAATGAAATACTATTCAGCAATAAAAAAGGATGAACTCCAGACACAGGCAACATCGATGAATCTCAATAAAACAAAAACAAACAGAACCAAAAAACATTAGGTAAAGTAAAAGAAGTCAGACACAAACAAGTAAATACTGTATGGGTCTATTTACATGAAGTTCAATGACAGGCAAAACAAATCTATGGCAACAGATGTTAGAATAGTGGTTACTTGTGGGAAGGCATGTATCAACTGCAAAGAGGCAGGCGGAAACTCACAGGGGTGAAGAAAACGTTCTACATCTTGAGCTAGGTTGTGATCACGTAAAGATATACATGTGTAAAAATTCATCAAATAAAGAGTAAGTACATATATACATAAATACAATAATGACGTTATCAAGATGTATACTTAAAATGTGTGCATTTTCCCATACATATTATACCTCAATAAAGTACTATAAAAATTGCATATAAAGGATAACTTTGATTTTGTTTAATGTATTCATATGCAAAAATATATATATATATATAAAGTATGTCAAAACATTAACAGTAGTTAATTCTGGAATTACAAAATATTTATATTTTCTTTTTACCTTTCTGCATTTTCCACCTTCTCTACAATGAGCTACATGACTTTTATGATCAGAAAAAAAAAAACTAAACTTTATTTTGAAAATTGTGTCACTTTCAAAAGAAAATTCTGTTATACTTGTAACTATCATGAACTCATGCAATGTCCATAAAAACTCAGTAAATCCTTGCTTCCTCCAATAAATTTCCTATAAATTACAAACTCATACTTGTGATTCACTAGAACAAATAAGAAAAACACTGAGAAAGGCATCTACTACAGTGGCTTGGCGAATGCATGAGAAAGTCACTGGGAAGTCAGCACTATAAACTGTGCAGTGATTTTAGAAATGGATCCTGCAACAAATACAGGGCTCTTATGACTCAATAAAAACTAGTTCCTGAAAACTGATTTTTTTTAATGATATTTTTTAAAATATTCCTTGTCACCCTGATTTATCCAAATTTCATGCAAAATGTCCAAAGTAAATTTTATTTTCAATGAAAATACTCTGAGTTTTAGAAACTTTCACAACATGTATAAAATAGTAACATAAGAACAGAACCAAAGGAGAGATACAAACCTCTGATTGTACATGCCCCGAAAGTTGTAATTAGCTCTATAATTTGGGAATGGCTTTGGGTCTAATGGCCTGTAGATGGCAGGCTCTCCCCTTTTCATAGCAAGCCCATTCAGTTCCACAGTTGGAGTTATACTGCCTGTTCAAAAAAAAGGCACACAAGTGAAATATTTCCACAATACATCATGCATGCTACATTTGTAAGACATTTCATTACCATGACAGAAGGTAGGGGTGGATGGCCGATCTGCCCAAACAAACTAAACAAACATGAAAATAGTCTCTAATAAAATCTCTGCGGTTTTTGCAACACTGTCTATGCATTAACAACCAAAAATTCAACTTTTCAGTCATACTGTTTCAAAACAATGCACACAAAAAATCCTTAGATGGCTAATTTTGGATATTATTAAAGAAAGTACTGAACTTCAACATTACTTACCCCAGAAAGCTTGCATGTATTTAATCAGTAAAAATATTATCCTCTGTGAATAATTTATTTACACTTTGGTTAGCAAGCAACTAAACATTAGAAATGAATACAGGGGCATCAGTAAAAATTACTAATTATGAAAAGTAATTCTTG